TTATCCATCTTTTTAATTTTGTTCCTTATAATTTAAGACGTCTTTGAATTTATTAAGTAGATACTTTACTTATATGTTTAATATAATTTAATTTTTATTTTATTTTAAATTAGAGAGTTGCATATAGTTGTCCATACTTGTCCAGTTGTTCATTGCTTATTCACTTCCACGAAGCTAGAGCACACGTGCATCGACAAAAATAGACATGTGCTCGTTCAAAGGAACATGTGCGCCGTCAATTTTGTACATAGTTGTACTAAATTGTCCAGTTGTCCAAAATTTTTCATAGTTGTCCTTTCGCGATTTTAGCATTTTTTCAGTTGTCATTTAATATAAATTATTATTTTGTAGTTGTCCACATGATTTTCGACTATTTCAGTTCATTTACAAGGTTTTCATAACACAAATTATGCAAAATCATATATTTGCATCTTTTCCATCAAAAGAATGTTAACATTATGAAAGTCTTCTTTGTATCATAAGAGATGTTTGATGTGAAACCAATAATATGTATTAGAAAAATGATAATTTTATGTTATCCATGTTATTAATATTGTTCCTTATAGTTTAAGACATGTTTGTATTTTTTAAGTATTTATTTTCTTTATATGTTGAATTAAATTAATTATTAATTTTTTAAAAATTAAGGAGTTGCATAAAGTTGTCCTTACTTGTCCAGTTGTCCCTTGCTTATTCACATCCACGAAACTAGAGAACATGTGCCCCGACAAAAATAGACATATGTGTAGTCAAAGTACCATGTGCGCTGTCAATTTTGTACATAGTTGTACCAAATTGTCCAGTTGTCCAAAATTCTTCATAGTTGTCTTTTGGCAATTTTAGCATTTTTCCAGCTGTCTCTTAATATAAATTGTTATTTTGTAGTTGTCCACATGATTTTCGACTGTTGTAGTCCATTTAAAACATTTTCATACTACAATTTATGCAAAATCATAATTTTGCCTTTTTTTCATCATAAGATTGTTAACATTATAAAAGTCTTCCTTGTATCTTAAGAGATGTTTAATGTGAAACCAATAATATGTATTAGAAAAATGATAAGTTCATATTATCCATTTTTTGATTTTATTCTTTATAGTTTTTACTTTTTGCATTTTTTAAGTGAATGCTTTCTTTTTATATTTATAATTTTATTATTATTATTTTCTAACTAAAGAATTGCATATAGTTATATATATATATATCTAGTTGTACCTTGTTTATTTCTATCGAGAAAACATTTTCAGCCAAAATGAAATCTTTTAGACTAGATTGATTTTCTTAAGTGTCGAGATGTTTATCAAAGTAACACATACACCTATGTGCACAATCAATTGTTTTTCATATATAGTTTTACCTAATTGTCCAATTGTCTGAAAATCTTAATAGTTGTTCTTTTGAGATTTTAGCGTTTACATTAATTTTCAACTATTAATTTTAATTTATGAGGTTTTCATATTACAAATTATGTAAAATCATATAATTTGCCTATGTTGTTTCATATCATGATTAACAATATAACATAGATAGATGAAATAAGTTATCTGCTCCAAATATGAAATAGTAAATGATATAGCATAGATGAAAATTTTTGAAATCCATTAAAATGTTTGTGTGGCTGATGCTCATTATCTCCTCAGCATAGAATAAAAAAATATCAATTAGCAATTATTCCAGTTGTCTTAGTTATACCTATTTGTATCAGTTGTCTTCTATCTCTTAGTTGTACTCATTGTACCAGTTGTTCTTTATCTCTTAGTTGTACCATTTGTACCAGTTGTCCTCTATATCTTAGTTGTACCATTTGTACCAGTTGTCCTCCTCTGCAGATTTGGTGATGAACTCGGGTTCCAATTCTAAACAACCTAAAAATCACTATGATTTAACAACTAAACTCGACAAATTATCAATGCAAAGACCTAATCTTCATATAAAACTTGGTTTCTAAACCGAATCTGGTTATCAAAACAAGCAAATTTTGCAAATTCATTCTCTAAATTTTGAAATCCCTAAATTATGAAATAAGAACAATTTACTCAGTTTCAAAGCTTCAACAATGGCAGGTTAGAGAGAATTATGAACAATGAATTGAATGCAGCAGAAGAGGAGGATGAAAAGAAGGAGGATGTGAAGGTTCGACGGCAAGAATGAGATTTAGTAGATTTGAGGTTGAAGATGAAGAGAAAAATTGGGAAGAAAAGAAAAAAAATCATATTTTTTTGTTAATTTTCGTTTTAGTTTTAATATATTAATTATAAATTTATTTAAACATTAATTTTGGGATAAAATCAAAAATGCCACAACATATTTCATTAAGGTAAAATTGGAAATTCATATACATTATGGCATGTAGACTTACTTATGGCACAGCAGATTTTTCTTTTTTTCATTTATGGCATTTTGGCCATTGAATCCATTTTCGCCGATGTTTGGGTTCTTGAGTGGTTTTCTTTCTAATTGGGATGGTTGGAATTTTGAATTGATCTGAATCAAATTAAACCGAGTCGAAATAGCAGAGTTGATTGTGGGGCTTTTTGAATGTCCAATAATTTGATCACAATTAGCGGGTTTTTTTTTTTTTGAAAACGCAATACAAATCCCTTTCATATAAAAACATTGTTTTGTTTTATGTATCTATTTTTTTTATTAATCACGATGGACTTTCTTATTATGGCCTAATGGCATTGTAAAACTACTAAACTCCATCAATGGAAGAGACCATGTTGATGTATATGACCATAAAAGTTGTCGACTTATTTAAAGAAATTGTCACAAGAATATGTTAAAAAATTAACTATTAGTTTATGACTATGGGGAAAACTTGAGGACCATCAATCAATACCCAAATGATTGGACAAAAAAAATGTAGTGATATGTTTCTAATATTACTTATTCAGATGCTACACATTACAGTCTATAACCTAAATAATTGTCTCATAATCTAATTTTTAGTGTATGAGAATGATATAGATATTTTTACGTTGCATATTGTGTCTTAACACGAAACTCAGCGACAAGCCTCAGCCGGTATCTTCTCCAATCCTGATGAGTAAAGATATGGTTGAGGTGGATAAGCTGAACCGAGAAGCTGATAGAAATGAAATTTGACGCATCTGATGGCGTAAGAAGTCAGCAGAGTACATGAAACTCTGCGATGATGTGGCGGCCAAGGAAAAGAAACTGAGGAACAAACTAAGGAATAGCCACCAAAGATTCTGTCACATTCATTATCATATGGATACTTTAATATTCATTCAAGTTTTGAGATTTTAAAGGCAAAACTACATAGAAACTTCGTATTTTGAGATTTAAAGCAACTTTTTAGTAGAAAAATATTCAATTAAACCTTACGTATAATATGCTGGTTAATGATGTTTAGTAAAATGTAAAAATGATCAAAAACTTATGTACAACAATAGTGCACGCCAAATGTACTTTTCTGACTTCTAATCTTTTGAATTTCAATATCAGTCTTCGTGAATTCAAAAAAAAAAAGAGAGGATAAAATTATCAACTTTTTTTGTTTTGTTTTGTTAAGTTGGATTATGCATATTTATTAACTTGTGATCAAACATTTGTTTTTTTTCATGGTGTGACCTTTATTAAGTTTATTAAACCTAAAAAGATGTTTCTATCAATATTTTTCACATAGGCTATTAAGCATAATTGAACTAAGAGTCGTAACAATTGATCCCTCTCTTTTTACTTTGCAATTTGAGTTTATCGTCAAATCCTAAGTTTGAAGTCTAACCTTTTGAGGATGAGTATAATGTGTGTTTGTTCTTATAACCATAATGTGTGTTTGTTATTATAACTTAGAAGCACATATTATTGATGAATAGAATCAGAATAAGGTTGTGTGTGATCATAGATAGCCAATTAAACTATAATTGATGTTTAATGTTATTTAGATGTTTTTAAAAGTGAAATATGTAGTAGTTCGCATTACAAGCGATAACCAAAGTTCTATGGTATTTTATGAATCCCAATTCTTTAGATGTGAATTGTATTTTGGTTGGAAACACTATACACATCAAATGAAAAAAGAAAGAAACTGGAATGAATACATACAAAATCAAATAAACCGGAAGAGTAAACTAATTAACCGGAAGAAGGAATAAAAGACAAATAAACCGAACTATGCTTTTTGATACGTCAAATTCCCACTTCCAAATTGTTTGTAGTGGTAATAATAATCTAAATTCTGAAACATTCAGTAAGAAATTAACAATTGCAGTTACGAGTGAACCGAAACACACAGTATACATATTTCCCCAATTTATTTAGAACGGTACCAAAACCGGCACTAAACCGAAACAAAATTCAATTTTGAAATTGAAAAAAAAAAAATCAAGACGAAACCAAATTGTAAACCAGTCTCTATAATCTGAACGGTCCAAAAGTATTGACCCCATCATTGTTTTCTCTCTCTCTCTCTCTCTCTCTAAAAGGGCAAGCAACAAAGTCCGTTTGAGGAAAAGGAGAGAGATCGGAGGAAAAAGAACGTACATTTTCCAATTTCCACTAATGATGAAGAAATCATCCAGAAAGACACCTTCGTCGACATCCAAGATTTCCGATGCAGTTACGGTACAAGCCAGGAAAGGAACATAAAGGTTCACAATATGAGAGGAAAATGCATATGACCCAATCGTTACCATTGCAACAACTCTTGTGGTACTTATTAAGAGGATTAGATGCCTATAGTCTTGTGGATTAGATGATTAGCTCTTGACCTCAGAAGATTGGAAAAACTTGAGAGCTTTCTGGGAACAGAACTACCTGTCTACCTTCATTACCCTTCCATGACAGATGACGACTTTGGAGATGTCATATACAGTCGTCGCCAACACATGTTAGATCATCCAAAAACAATGTCTTTTTGTGTATCCATAACACCAATTTAGTTTATATTATATCCCTTTTGGTTTTCTATTCCACATTTTATGTTTACAATGGATGAATTATGACTGTTTTTGCTTAACAGTTTATTAATTATAAAAACAACCAAAAGGATGGATCTTTTTATTTATAATAATGGAAAGATCCAAGATAGTTCCAAATCATCCCAAACCAAAAAGAAAAAAAGAAGAAGAAAAAAGCTTAAACTAGAACGAAGTAGCTTAAACGATAACGAAGTACACAGTAGTTGTTTTGGTCTTTGCTGTATCGGCAAATTTATAAAAACTGGGAATTTAAGCACGTTTCAGAACTACCATGAAGATGACGCAAACAGCTAATCCAAACAGAGAACGAGGGTCGTTGTAAAGCGTCTGCTTCTTCTCTTTTCCATCCTCTGTAAAAGATTCTGACCGGAACAAACCCCCAAAGTAAGAAGACACATTTTCCATCAATCGAAGAGCTTTTAGCTTCATGTCTCGCAGAATCTCCAACAGTTCGATTGGCTTTGCTTCACTGTCTTCACTCTCAGTCGTGCTCGAATCCTCAGATTTCTCGTCATTGTCAGTCTCAACCTGAGACGAACCAACTGCAAAATGGAAAAAAAGTTTCTGTCATCAAGTTGTGTAATCATAAAAGAAATTGTGAAACAGCAACAGATTCATTTTTTTTACCGGTGTTGTTGGTCTCAAGAAATTTCATTAGGTCCTTGTTTTCCATTACAGCATCCCACACCTTTGGGTCAGACGCAATGGAAGCAACAACAGACTGTAAAAAAAAAAAGGAAACATTTAGACTACAAACCTTTGTGTTTGCATAAAATTAACAACACATATGAAAGAGTAACACCAGTGAAGCATTAACCAAAAGCAGAACAAGGTTCTATTAGTTGTGCCCAGACAAAATCAAAAGTGTTATGAAGCAATCTGAGAGTTGTACCAGACAAGATCAGACACAATTCGAATCAAGAAAAAGAGAGGAGATCGATGTACCTGCGCAGCTGCGTTTTCACTGAGAAAAGCAAAAGCCTGAAGAGCAACCTGTGGAACAGCTGATTCAACAGCTCTGTTCTCAGAAGCTTGGAAACTTGAGAGCATTTTCGAAACAGAACCACCTTCATTTGACCCTTCAATATACACCCTAACAAAATGTTGCAAAATCCATGAACAAACATAAGAGCAAGTAATACATAAATAAGCATAGAGATGGCCTCGAGCGTTTCAAAGTGAAAGACTTTTTTATTCAACAATACAATTACAGCTCTGACAAATTTCTTCTACTTTCTCGAATTCTAATCTCACATGGAACACTAGTAACAACATGAAATGGCTATACCTAAGATATATTCTGAATACTAGTCCAGAAAATTCAATCAAGATTCTTCTAATTAGAAAACAGAAGCCCAATTAGGTCAATCGGTAAAAGCTAAAACCATAATTCGAGTTTGAGAGTCTTTAGTATACGATTAAGGATAAATCTTACAAATTGATTGCTTCTTTCAAATCTTCGGTGGCTTCTTTAGCCTCCTGGAGACTAGGAGGTTTGCTGAAAACAACCCTAGGAATCGTCGGCTCCTCTTCGGCGAATTCCCAATCGTCCCAAACCGGTTTATGCATGTTCATCGCGTCTTCCTCGGCGGAAGTTTGAACCACCGTCGAAATCGAGGCCGAAACCGGTTTAGTTCCGACGGCGTTTCTGACCACAAACTGATCATTTGCCGGAGGCGCCACCGCCGCCGGGAACCCGAATCCTCCCCTGAATCCTGCTTTGCCGACTCCGATCCCGGCCACCTTCGCTGCCGTCGTCATGACTCTTCCTCCTCCCATGGCGAATATTCTCTCGATCTCGGAGATTTGGAAACTGAGATGGTTGCGAATTGCGATCGATTAAGATTTTTTTGATTGATAGATTTTTAAAGCAGAGAAAAATACCTTATCCGCTAAGTTAAAATGACGTCAGCAATAAATGTCCGGCGTTTAGTAATTTATTTATTTATTTATTAATTAACCTGATTAACCTCCTAATCAAGGTTTTACTAGTCCAAAGGATGTCTATGAAAGATTCTATTTGGTTCAGTCTAGTGGATTAAACCAGATTCGGTTTATCGAAATTTTCCGATTTAATTCAGTGAATTGTTTTAATGATCCAGAAAAACCTTTCGTTTTTGAGTTATTTTTATGATTGATAAGGGTCCAAGGTTTACTTCTTCATTGTATATATAATCACCCGGAAAAAAAAATAATTGTTCGGTTTAAATTTTATTTATAGGATGTGTGGGAGGATTGAAAATATTAAAATAACCGGAGTATGTTTGCAAAATTATGTTTTAAGGTTTGGTATAAATCAATTTTCTTAAACTGTTCAAAAATTCTTTACGTACATATGGAGTAATTTACTACTCCATTTACTATCGAATATTGGGAAAATTAGGTGTGTTAGGATTTAAGTGTTGTTCACGTTATATGCAATAGGAAATTAATCTATTTTCCACAAAAAAAAAAAACTGACTACGAAAAAGGCATATTGGTCTGATGAGTTGATTCATTTAGATACATTCGCTCTGTTCAAGTAAATTCCATCTTCCCCAGACCGGTTTGGTTTACCGTAATCTTCTGGACCAAAGTGATTCGGTTGTCTTTGCCAATGACCATCTGCATCGCGATCTCCTAAACCAATTGGCCTGATACCTGTGACATCGACAAAACTGGAGCTAATGTCACAGGTTTTTAGAAGTTATAAACCGGAGTTGGACGTTGAGATACCTATGGATTAGGTTTATGACCATATGTCATGACAGTGCCATTAGTATATTGACCGGTTTTTTTTATTATTATTCTTATTTGATGTCTAGAGCTATATAAAACGTACAAACTAACTAATAACGCATCCATAATTGTATTATATATCACTTAGTGAGAAATCAAGTATAATTAAACTTCACTCTGTACAGTAAGCTATAAGTACTACTATATTTGATTGACCGACATTTTAAAACTATGTAATCCTCGAATAGAACGTAAAATGTGACCTTCTCTATATCAAGCAAGCTTAAAGCAAACAAAATTTGCTAGCAAAAGCCACAACCAATTCTTCAAGCTATTCTGTTAGAACTTTCTCATTCATGTTGATGTCGTATCACAATCAAAGCCTCGATCACACCCTAATCTTATTATAGCTGCCTATCTAGTAATGTATATGTAAAATCTTTATACATGTAATTTTGAGTTTTCCACAAATCATTCAAACCTTTTAAAGGCCAATGATGTGTGTCGATATAAAAAAATTGATTTGTGATTGGAAACAACTTTGTAAATATCACGAAACCTATATAAAACAACAATATTAGAGACCACTAACTACCAAACTATAATCTCTGGACAATATCTAAGTAATTACTTAACAAATCATAGACATTACTTAACAGGTCAAAGATTATGAAATATAGAAGTTTTAATTTGTTTTTCTTAAAAAAACATACTTGAATAGAACATTGGGATTCTCATCTTTACAAGAACTCTCAATCAAAAATCTAACCTAGTCTCATATAATTAGCATACTAATTTTTCAGATTAGTGCATACGTTCGAAAATTTCAAAAAGGACAATCGAGACCTCCACCCTTTTTTTCATCTTAGAGCTTCAAATCCTCTAAATCTTCTCATCTTTTTCTTCAGAACGCCTGAAACAGAAATCTAAGGTTAATATCCTCGCTTTGATTAATATACCATCCAAGACAAAACTAAACGAAAAATGTTATTAGAAAGTATAATTACTATGAATTACAGTATATTTTATGTATTCTTCCATTTCTCGAAGCGAGTTATATCAACCTTAAGAGAGAAAAAAGAGAATTGTAGAAATTATAGAATATATTCACATGTTTTTGTATTCATATTGTTATTTGCTAAAAGAAAGATAAATGATAAATTTTGGTAAAAGTTACTGATCGAATATACTCCTTATTCGAATAAAATAACAAGAAAGCAAAAGAAGGAAAGGAAATGTTATGTCAGCAGTTATAGAGACAAGACTCATATTGAAACTGGCAAAGATATCAGACAATAAAATCCAAAAGAGTTTTCAAAGTCGTCGAGAACCAAAAAAAAAAAAAAACACAATTCAAGCCCATGTCTTCACTGTACAACTTACATTCCCACAGTAAATAAATTAAGTTTTGGAAAACGAACTAATTCTGTAATTCACTTCTAGACAAGCGAAATCTACACCATTATTTTTCAACAACTACATTTATCTTTTTATGAACACTAGACAAGTCATACCATTAATTTGATATATTTAAATAAAATTAAAGAACCAAATTAGTTAGCTTCTAACAAGGATTGAACAATAACCGTTGAAAGTTAGAATACAAATACACTCCAACCAACTCTGTATTTTATAACATTGATGCTATTTATATAGTAGCTTTTTTTCTTGTGAAGTATATCAGTGGTTTGCATTTTGCAAATAAAAACCAAGAACAGATCTGACATTAATATTTGTTTTTCTATTTTTTAAAATATTTGAATTTTGTTGGGGATAAAAACTAATCCAGTTGGGATAATATTAAGAGTGATTTTAATTAATATCAATACTTAACTTATTATTTAGTTATACTGTATAACTAAATAATAAGTTAACCAATAAAATAATATAAATTCCAAAAATTAAACAAAATTTTCTAGATAATTTTTCTATATATCTAGTTGACGGAAACTAAATTAAGAAAATCCAGATAATATCTTAATTAACCATTAAAATTAAATTAAATTAAATTAGAAAAACGTTTATTTTGTGTGTGTGTGTTTGTGGTGGTACCTCGAGGTTTACACTTGGGAGGATCTTCAAAGAGAGAAAGCGAGAGCTGTTTAAAAGCAACGCCGATATCGAATATAATGACGCCGGAATCAGGATTCTTGACGACGATATCTTTCACGGAGAGCCACAAAAAAAGTTCTTCTTGCGACAATCCTTCTACTCCGACGAGGCTCCCGTAGCTCAGATTCGCTCTCACGACGGTGTCGAAGTACACTCTCGTCTCGAATTTAGCAAGACACGGCCGCGCAAGGAAAACCTCGAGACGACCGTCGTCGTAAAGATTGTAAGAGTCAACCTCTTGCGGTAAAAGTCCCGCCGGGAGACCTTTTGATCGGAGAACGTCGTGGATCGTCGGAGAAGACGGCGATGAGAGAGAGAATGAGAGGAAGAGAGTGGTGAAGACAAGGATCATACGAGAGATTAGTTTGTTCATAGTAGCTTTTTCACTTGACTCAGAGAGAGAGAGAGAGAGAAAGAGTTTTTTGTATTTTTTTTTACGGCGATGATTAAAATTGTTGAGAGAGGATGCTATATAATTAAACGAAGAAGAAGGAGATAGTGGAAAATACTAATTTAGCCTTGGTTGGTGAGTGGAGTAGGGCCATGTATCATTAGAGAGATATGGTTAACGTGATTAAGATCATAAGTTTAGAAATTTGTTGAGAAAAAACGGAAATTATCTAGTGCATAGATTTTTTCGAAAATTTCCAATGTAGAGAAATTATAACAAAAGAGTGGTTGGACACACCATATATAGCTAAACAACATTAAGAACCGTAGGAAACAAAAACAAAAATAATGATTATTAAGTGTATGAGAGAATGCTGTATTGATAATTAAGTTTACAAAATTACAAATGTGTATTAACAACTAAGGCACATATGAAGGTTCTTAAAGTTTCATTGATGTAAATGTAGATGATAAAGAGAAGTGTATTTTCAACTAGCTAGACGCATATGAATTTTATTTATTTTTGGAATTAGCAATATCACAGTTTTATGTTTTTAATTAATATAGTCTTGGAATGTAAAACTATGTTTCATCATTCTATAGACTTGTATTTAGCTAATAATGCAAAGAAAAAACGCATGCGTATTTTATAGTCTGATGATTTATTGTAGCCTGGAATATATGTGTATATGTAGGAACGTGCTATGTACATAATTAACTTTGATTGTAGAGTAATCCAAAACCTAATGAGTATGGATTAGCTAAGACTAGACGCTAGAAATTGATAGTTTAAGGAGTAATACAGAATGCTTCATCATATGAAATAAGTTTAGTTTTTATTTTATTTCCCTTTGGTTGGTGATGAAAGCTTCTTATTAAATACATCTTATCATATATCGTGTTAATAAAACAAGTAATTAAAAAAGTATAAATACTGCATTTTGGATTACTATTGTGTTTTTTACAAAACAAATGGGTAACACTAATATGCACCGTCAACCTGATAATTTGGCACAAGAAAAGATCAAACAAAAACTTTTGGAATTATCACAAAAATGCCTAGTTTTTTATACGTTTCTTATTGATACTGCAATAGCTGTTCACTAAAAATGTTAATTTTGATTTGTTTAGCAGTAAAAATGATACTACATGTCTACATGAATAAATTACAATTTGCCCAGTATTCGAAGTTGACTAGAAAAATTTTGTCCAAATTTCAGTTAGAGAGTCTTTAATTAAGCCATATTCAACGATAATAGCGCCTTTTCGTCTTTTTAGTCAGTGCCACGCAAGCTCTCTCAGTCATAGTGCTTTTGCATGAAAAGGAAAACAAGTAACGGTTAAACTATGTGGCAGTAAAAAAAAAAAAGAAGCTCACTCTTCTTCGAAGGATAATTTCGTCCTTCTCTACTTCGAAATCTATCTGTTACTCCTCGTATCTAAGATTTTTTAACGATAAAACGAAATCTACATGAAAATAATAAGTAGATATGCTCATTAGATATTTCAATAACAGTTATAAAATTCTCATCTTTTATAAAAGTGATTAATTATTAAATTAAGGGATATTTGCTTAATTATATTAACAACCAGAGGGAATTACGAATCTGCCACTGTGAGAGAGTCACGCGGTCCACAGAACAGAAGGGCCCAGGATTGAGAAAAATGATTACGTTAACCAATCGGGGGACCGGTTTTACTTGACGGTGGCTAATGGATTCATTACACGTGGAAACATCATGGGTCTCATTAAACCGGTTACCTGGAGATGAGTTGTCACTTGGTCTTGTAGTGGTCGTTTGTTCTGTGTGTGAATGTGGGAGACGCAGTAGGTTATCGGTTGTTTGCTTGGCCCACGTGTGGCTCATGCAGTTTCACACGCGTGATACTTGTGATAGCATTTGTTTGCAATGTTAATTGTTTTTTTTGGTCGTAAATTGCTTATAATATTATGTTTTTTTCTTTCTCTTTTTGATTAGTCTGCTGGGTCCCTATAATTATTGGGACTTCTATTGGAGAGATGAGATCATAACGTAGCATGGAAGCGTTGTACGATATGCGATTCCCGCTTCAGAAGTGTTTTGGAATCGGAAGCGTCTTGGAATCGCACGGAAACATTTCGGAATCACGATTCCCCAAAAACAACATTTAGAATCACGACGGAAGCGTACGATTCGACCGTGGAAACAGTTATATTTGATGGAGTTGATGAAAATGAGAATGACAAAGATCATATCAACGTGTGATTTTGAATTTTATTTTTATGATTAGTTGAATTACAATATTTCTATTATGTATTAGATTTTTGTTATTTAAAGTTTAAAATATTATTTTTATATTATTTTATGTTAGGTGTTTTATGATATATATAAACGCTTCTAACACGTATCCGCTTCCTAATTTTTTTGAAAAATCCGCTTCTGCGCTTCCAAACGCTTCCGCTTCCGTGATTCCGCTTCCGGATTCCATGCAGCTTAGATCATAACGCACCTGTGTGATACACAAGTTAATTTCGGTTATAAAAGTGGGGCCTATGTATTGGAGAAATTCAAACGAAAATATATTTTTTTTTCTATCAAAGAAAAGAAAATCTATATCGTCAACAAATTAAGAAACAACTACTAAAATACTATATTTTACTTACACCATTTTTATGTTCAAAAAAAAAAACTACTTCATTTTTTAATTATTTTTGGTCTTATTTTATTATACTAGTAGAAATGCATTTTTTTCATTTCTGTTTAGGTATTCTAACCCACATTGGCACATTTTAACCCCACTTAGTGTTTCAAGTTTCACCCCACAGTTTAACTCACTGAACTAAAGAGTTTTCGTTCTTTTCTTTCTGTTGTCGGCAGAAGTCCTCAATCTAACTACCCAAAAATCATACAAAAAATGTTATCGAGGATCTAGCAAATTATTTTTCTTCCCAAATATTTAGGATACTATCCAGAAAATAGCATTTTGTTGATGTTCAATCTAATTTTAGCATTATAGAAGAAAAAACAATCAGCAAAAATCTTACAAATGTTATCATTTTATGATCAAACTGTATATTCGTTTTGATTTATAGGTAAATTCATATAAACTTCATAAATTTGGTTTTTAATATAACAATCTCAGTAATACTCACGAAAAACATTAATATTTATAAGTTATTAGAGAACAATAAAAATCTTTATAGTATATCATTTGAGAAAACAAGAGAAATTATATCCAGTTACCACAAAAAAAAAAACAAGAGAAAATGACAAAAAGAAGTTGACTTGATGCGATAAGAGTGAATCTTAACCAGAAAATGTTGACTTCGAATAAATTTATAAGAATTTAATACAATTGAAAAGTGATCAAATATTTGAAACTAAAGTTTCCATCAAATTTGGGCAATAAATTTTCAAAAACAATCTTAAAAACCAAAACAAAAAAAAATCACAAAATAAAATCTAGAAAACATTTCTACTACTTGCAAAATAAAAATAATTTTAATAGAAATTAGTCGAAATTGATTTTCATAATCCTCCCTAAAACGGTTGAATTATATATGTTCATTGGATAGCGTCGAATATGACGTATATCTATGTGGACAAAATAAAAGGTGATTTCTACTATATTTATTGTTTGTTCTACAATATAATTTCAATTAAATTAGGTAACATATTTGGGTCGTGATATGCAGAAAAAATATGCATTATTGCAATTGAAAAAATGTACTTACGATAGTTTTTTAACATACTTTAGTGAAAAGAAATCATTAACCTTCCTTTATTTATGTATTAACTCATGTTTAAAAAAGTGTTAGGCGTTAATCGGGAGGTTGAGGTTCGCCTAACGTTTAGACAAAAAATCGAGAATTAATCAGGAATTAGTTTTTATATTTACTTTAATTATTTAAATTATTTATTAATATTTATTATTTTAAAAAATTAATTTTGTTATATTAGACATATATAAACTAAAATTTGTATAAATATGTGCATAATGATAGACTTAGAAAACATATTTGTGTGTTAATGATCCAAATTTAACTCAAACCAATAAATGCCCATGACAATGTTTTAAAAAGCAGGTCTTTTGTTTGTCCCACATCGACAAACTTGAATAATGGAGAAGTGGAAGCTGCACTATAAAGAGTCTTCATCTTTTGTGTGCGGTCAGCCACTCCAGTTGGTTCTGTAATTGAGCTCGGTTATTTTTCACAAGTCGCCCATTTTTTTTAAATCACTATTTTATTAAGAAATCGCCTACAAAGTCGGTTATTTAAACCAGTCATGTTGAAGATATCAAGAAACATACAGTATTTCTCTATACACAAAAAAGCATATAAAGCCCGTATTCAAAAATATAATTAGGCCGTTCATATGGCCCAGATAAAACCCACGAAAAGATTCAGCCTCTCATACTCATCGTCTTATTAGTCTTCAGTTTTAAATTCCGATCTACAGAAAACCTCTTCGGTGGTTCAAAGTAGAGTTTTCCGATGGATCTTATATGCAATTCGTACGCCAATGACTCCGACGACGAAACTGAGCCAGTGACCGATGAGCGGCTCGCATTTGGGATCGCCCCACCGTCTATTATTCCTTGGAAGCGTCCATATCCGGAGCCGGAGGAGCATCAATACAAACCAGCACGTAGTAGACGAAATCCTCCGTATTGCTCTTATTCGGATCCTGAAGCGAGCTCTGCATCAGCTTCGGTTCCGATTGCAGTTCCAGGTCGGTACGTTTCCAAGAGAGAGAGATCGCTTCTAGCTTCTTCTCCTTCAACGGTTCCGAATCAAAATCAGCCTTTGGATTTGAGTCAGAAACCCTCCGTTAGCTCTCCCACTGGTACTTGTGATTGTTCTTAATTCGTGTTTTAAGATTCATTGTTCTGTATTAGCTTTGTTCGGATTACTGTAAATCTAGTAATTGTTCAGCTTTGGATTATCAACGTTATTAGCTTTGTGCTTGTATTGTGCTGTTATCTTCTGCTAAAATGTACTTAATCTTTCTGAATCTCAGTTCTTGGGAGCATCTCGGATTCAGAAGTGCCTCGCCATGTTCTATCTTCGATTACACATCGACCAAAAGGATCCTCATGGCGGAACGAAATACCCAGAAGGATTTCGATTTCGTTAACCGGCCATACGAAGGCTGTTACTGCTATTGATTGGTCAGCAAGTCATGGTATGTTCTTGCTCTTTGCTGTAGCTTTTCATTTCTCGAAGTTAGTGAACAAGTATTAGGCGAACTCTTTGTATGATACGGTTAATACTCAATCTTTTGTTATATCTCTTGTCCATATCCTTTGCCTCATTCATTTGTTCATTAGAGTTGTTTTGCAGTTCACCTTCTTGCTTCAGCGGGGCTGGATGGTGCTGCTTACGTGTGGAATGTATGGAGCAGCGGTAAGAAGAAAGTACGTGCTTTTCTCCGTCACAATGCTCCGGTGAAAGATGTGAAGTGGTCAAAGCAGGGACTATCGCTGCTTTCTTGTGGATATGACTGCACGTCGAGACTGTTTGATGTTGAAAGAGGGGTAGAAACACAAAATTTCAAGGAGGATCAGGTTATTGGAGTTGTTAAGTTCCATCCAGATAATTCCAACCTGTTTCTTTCAGGAGGGTTCAAGGGAAGTCTTAGATTATGGGACATTAGGAGCAACAAAGTTGTGCATGAATACATCCGAGATCTCGGTCCAATTCTTGATGTCGAGTTTATCTCGGGTGGGAAGCGGTTCATCTCTTCAAGTGATGTGTCAGGCAGGAATATAAGTGAGAATGCTGTTATAGTTTGGGATATTTCGAGAGAGGTTCCTCTATCTAACCAGGTCAGCAGAGTATTCTTCACTACCTACTTCCAATTATATCCATTTTTCATATTCTTCTTTTTCTAATTCAGTAATAAGAAAGACATTTTACTTTTTTTTTTCCGAAATATCTCTGTTTGAATGTCTTATGTCACTGAAAAGGATAGAATTTAGATGCTCGAAGAGTCCAGTTTAGACCTGGAATGAGAGAAATAAGGTGCATTTGTAATGAAAATCATAATATGCATATTTGTGAATGTGTGTTTGAAGTCGTTGCTTTCTAGTTTCACCTTTTGTTGTCTTGGAGATAGTTCCTTACATTTTGACATTTGTCTGAAGTTTTCAAATTTGATTTATTCCATGATGAATAACTTGCAGAACAATGCTCTGAGTTTTATCATCTAGACAGTAATTGGACGTTCATTGTTAGAATTGAGATTCTTATCACTAAGCACATCTTAACATTAATTTTTCCCTTTTGTTGTTGTTTTCCCTGTCGCTCTCAAGGTCTATGAATAACTTGCATAGAATGCTCTGAGTTTTTGTGTCGCTGCCAACACATTCTTCTTTCACTGTGGAACAATTCATAGGTCACACTCGTAACTACGCCCATGAGAATGATGATTAAAACAGTAATAGGAACGTTCACTGTTAGATATGAGACTCTATCACTAGCATTAATATTTTTCTTTTGTTGTTGTTTTCCTGGTTGCTCTCAGGTCTATGCAGAAGCATACACATGCCCTTGCATCAAACGTCACCCGCAAGACGCAGTCTTCATCGCCCAATCACACGGGAACTACACAGCGATCTTCTCAACGAACCCGCCTTTCAAGCTCAACAAATACAAGAGGTACGAAGGTCACTGGGTCTCAGGTTTCCCAATCAAATGCAACTTCAGCCCGGACGGAGAAACCTTAGTCTCTGGCTCATCCGATGGTTCCATATACATGTACGGCTACAAATCCACTGAGCTCATTAAGAAGCTTAAGGCTTATGAACATCCCTGCGTTGATGTCGCATACAACCCTGTTTTGCCTAACGTGGTCGCGTCTTGTAGCTGGAACGGAGAGGTCTCTGTTTTTGAGTGATCTCACAAGAACCACGCAACGATTAGCCCCCATCAAATCTCAGTCTCGCTTATGTTTTAAAAGCTAGGAGGTGTTAGAAAATGAATAATAGAACGGGTTGATAATGATATTAAAAAAAATCCTTTTGGATTTCTTCTTAATTTAAAAGGTTACATTTGGTTAATTGTGTTTTACGCTATAGGATGTGTATATATATATATATATATATGTGTGTGTTGAGTACTATTATATGTATTGACGACAACAGAATTTGTGTTGGGATATATATTTATCCTGACAAATTAAAAAGGGTTTAATAAACTTGAATGGGATTTTGCAGGTGTCAGAGTTTATTTCAATTATTTTCTCTTTACTATGTGAGTGTCAGGCTGAGTTCACTGACACACAAAATATGGTCTCTGATATTCTCAGAGAACTATGAATTTTCTTTTGACTTTTTCTTGTTGTCTTATTTACAGAAAATTCTTTGTAGTGAATCATGAATTCCATGGTTATACACTACTAGTCCGACCAAAAAAGAAAATATAGGATCCTTTTCTTTTTTTGACATCAAGATTTCTTTCCTTAGCTGCTAAATTGTGGATCTTGTGAAACTGTTACAGATAGATTGATGTTCGTGAATGAATTACGTATCACGTGAAATTAATTACATAACAAAACACACACAAAATGTTATTTTACTAAAAACTAATTGAATTTTGATCAAAAAAGATTACTTGACATAATACAATTTTGAGAGCTTTTTTTTTGTGTTGTTTCACTTTGTTTAGTAATCGTAACACTCTAACAGATAATGATTGACCACCATATGCATGTATAAAATTAACGAAGATTTATGAATGACTTCAAGATTATTATATTTTACTATTAAATTCTGAAAATGTGACGTGAAAACAGTTTAAAGTTGAACATTTTACGATGTTACTGATCGCCACAAATGTTAACATCTATCTATTCCCTTTAGAATAAGCAAAACATGTTTTACGCTATGTCGTAACTTAATTTCATATTGAGTTGTTGTCAAAAGATGATGGAAAATGTATTGGATAAAAAAAAAATGTAAACATGTTTTGCGCAAAATGTATTAAACATATATTAGTATTACCCAATCAATGTGGCTACTCAAAAATGTGTCAGCTCAACTTTGATTTCCCACCATAAGTTATTTGTAAAGGGCTATATTAGCCCAAATATCAATCACCTTGCAAGTAAATGAGTGGCACAATCTAGAAATCCAAAAACCTATTATTGTGTTTCTTACCTCTTACACAAGTACAAAGATATAATCATAACTATACTTGCGATGTAAAGTAATACATATGTACAATCTAAACATGCATAGTTTTCGTACTTGCAGAATTCATCAGATACTGATTTTTTTGCAATTATCTAAAATGTGTTATATGTTAGTCGATCCGTACATCACTGTGTATATCTATGGCGATTTTTTTTTGTCAAATACAAAATAGAAACATATAAGTTTATCAATATGTACATTTTTTTTTTGTTTTTGACGTTATATGTACATATAATCACAAATTTTGTAGTAAAAAAAAGGCTAAAAAAAAAAATTCAAATTGGTCATTATATTAGAAAAAATTAATATATATGAATGCAAAAGAATTGAATAATAGTCTCAACTGAATAATAACACTGAATACTAGTCACAAATCACTGAATACCGTTTTGCCTATGATCCTTGCTCGAAGGAGATAACATCACCCAACGAATTAAAGACATGGTTCAATGTCTTTGCAAAGTCAAAAAAGTTACTTTTAAGGTGCAAAACTGACGGTGTATCGACCTGAAAAACCAAGAGAAAACAAGCGCATAACTCTAAATTTGTCTATATAAGTATATTGCTAATGTTGCCACGAATTGCAAGTAGACAAAATCAAGAAAAAAAAACAAGCAAAGAATGTTTTACTTTTATTACTTTCACTTTCTCGCTGCGATTATCATCTTCAGGTCTGGAGGAAACGCCGAGGATGCGGCGCCTCTCTTGGATTTGGAAGAGGTCGTGATTGACGTGGTCTGTGAAAAGAAGATGAAGGAGGACTAATCCTAGAATCTGTGACGTGGATGTTGTACTGGTGGAAATGGTCGAAATGGTGTGAGAGGATAATCGTCTATATAAGTATATGTTTTTTTTATGTTTTTTTTTTACATTGTAATGCTATCAGCCAAAAAAAATAATTATCATACAATTTCAAATTTAAGTACGACTGATATATTTATATAAAATTTTACTATTGTTAAACTAAAGTAAAGATTTTTTTGTATGAATGAAAATATTTTTTTATTATATTGTTGAGTTATGAACACTTAAACATCAATAGAAACCAATGAATTGTAGTTTATTTCTACAAAATTATACAGTGATGTAGAAAAATTAAGTTCAATATCAAACTCAACTTTTTTATGTCAGTCAGAAGAATCTACTTTTAAGGCCACCGGAAGAAAAAATATTAACTAGGCATGTTGTTTATAAATATATATTCTACATATATAAAATATTGAAAGTATCACAAATATTATTAACTAAGCTGCTTCTGATATTTTGCTACAGGTGACTTCAAATTGTTATCCCGATCTAAACAGGTTAATCTCAGACCTTAATAGGATCTCGCATTTTCTAAGAACCATCAACTAAACATCTTATGTTTTTGTAAGGTTGTCATGTATCCTTTGTCCACTCGAGTTAAAACATTTGGAAGGATCTAGCCACACAAAAAAAAACCAACAAGTACACAAAATATAAAGCTGGAAGTTACTCCTTCAACTTTGGATCGCTTGAGCTAGCAGCTGGGATTGCTGTTTTGGCCTCTGAAAGTAAACCTTTAAGGGTTTTGTAGAACTCCTCAGGAAGAGGACCAGATCGGTGTGCTTGGGAATCAGCGCATCATTCTCAATCACTTCACACTCGTAGTCATCTGGAACACCCCAAGGGTCCCATTCTACATATGCAAATAGAAAGAATTACGATTCTGAGGTGAAGAAACTCTTAATACATAAACCAAAAGTTTTTTTTAGACCATTGAAAGTCTGCTCGATAGAATACTACAACCAAAAGAATGTGATAAGGCTCACTCAGACTGTTACATTATCATAGGAAGAAAAAAGAAAGAAGATCTCTGGAACCTCGAAGAAAGTATCATGAAAATTGAAAGATAATTTTTCATAAGCATTAACACTAACGTACCAATAACTGGAAAGCAAGAAAACTAATTTAGAACAAACCAACACCTATGTGACATTGAAGCAAAAACCGTTCCAATCTTATGTGAACTAATGCAAACTTTCACATATTCGCCTAATTTAGCAAATACTAATACAATAAGTATCATGAAATTTGAAAGAGAGTTCCTTAAGCATTAAACACTAACGTACAGATAAATGCAAAGCAAGAACACCAATTTTAAAACAAAACCATACCTATTTGACATTGAAGCAAAAACCGTTCCAATCTTATGTGAACTATGCAAATTTTTATACATTACGACTTAAGTTAGCAAATACTAATACAGCAAAATTTGCATTCCTTTACTTGATTTTCAGTTTTAGTTTGGGATTTCAATGAACATTAACTCATAGTTTCTTCCCACTAACTTGATAGCCAATAAAGAGTTCATCTTTGCCGTGCCCTGTGTCCAGTTTTTTCTACCTTAACGATCTACAAAGCCTCTAGATTTCATTTTTTTCAAACACATTTCTTGGAAAAAAAATCAATCTAATAGTCCAAATGTTCATACTTTCTTTCCTAACCAGATATGCAAAGTAAAATTCGAATCCCCAAATCTCATTCCACATTCGCAAAACCGACCAAAATAGCAAATCAATCGGAGCGATGTAAGAGAGGGAAGAGCAAACGAACCGATCATTTTTCCGATGAGTGTGAGCTCATCTTGTGCCTCTTCGATGAGCTCTTCGACTTGACCACAACCAAGCCGCTTCTCGATCGCTTCCCAGTCCTCTTCTTCCTTGCACACATTGAGACGGTGTCTCGTGAATGATTCCACGGCTTTTCGGTATCCTTCATCCTCCGGCACAGTTTTGGATCTCCTTTAGGGTTTTGCTGTAGAGATCGATCAGCACAGCCCTCACGTTCGGGACCACGTCAAGCCCGACGATCCCCGTCGTCTGCTTCACTTTAGCCAACAATGGCCGTCCAATTGACCGTAGAAACATCTCAACCGCTGGATCGCTCTCTCTCCTTAACTCCGGCGAAATCTCAGAAGCTTTTTGTTGTTGTTTACAGTGTCAACTCTCACATTTTCAGATGGAGAAGAAAACGAAAGCCAGATTCTTAAATGGGCCTATTTATATTATTAATGGGCCTTATTAGCTTTTTATGGGAGATAAGCAAAAATGCCATAAATATCATATTTATTGTTTTAAATACCATTGGTTGCTATTAAATTTTGTTATACTGCAGATCATATTAAAAACATTGCTATTCCTATTAACACGGGAACTGAAAAATTTACGTTTTTGGGTTTGACTGGTTTATTGGTTTAAACGCAACGGTTACGGTTAAATACATACCAAACTTTCTAGAGGAAATGCCGGTGTGAGAATTTGCGGAAGTGGGCGATTCTGATTTTGAGTGTTATTAAGCAGTTTGCATAATTAGTTAAATTTTTTAAGGTAAATCCGTTTGTGAGACATTTTTAACTGGCAAACCAATAGATGTTTTAGCGGTTAAACAAATTACCAAAATATATCAAAAATAATTATAAAAAATATAACTATATTTTTATGTTTACGATGTTACTGATCGCCACAAATGTTAACATCTAACCTATTCTCTTTAGAATAAGCATAGCATGTTTTACGCAATGCCGTAACTTTTCATATTGATTTGTTGTCAAAAGATGATGGAAAATGTATTGGATAGTAAAAAAAAATTGGCACAAAATGTATTAAACATATATTACCCAATCAATGTGGCCTGGTGTGTCAGCTCAACTTTGATTTCCCACCATAACTTATTTGTAAAGGGCTATATAGCCCAAATATCAATCACCTTGCAAGTAAATGAGTGTCACAATCTAGAAATCCAAAAAACTATTATTGTGTTTCTTACCTCTTACACAAGTACAAAGGTATGATTAACTACACTTCCAATGTAAAGTAATACTTATGTACAATTCTAAACATGCATAGTTTTAGTACTTGCAGAATTCATCAGATAACTGAATATTTTTGCAATTATCTAAACTGTGTAATATGTTAGTCGACCCGTACATCACTGTGTATATCTACGCGACAACTATATGGCAATTTTTTTTGGGTCAAATACAAAA